GTCAGCAGGCGGTGATTTCCTGCATGCTGACCTCTCATCTCTGGTGTAAATTGCTTCAAAGCAGGTTAATTCTGCAACATAAGATGGGTGGTAACAAGCGAACCAACCCAACCTCTAATTCTGCTTCACCGTTCTGTCCTCCTAGGGGTCATCTTACTTTATTCTCTCACTGAAGTTGTAAAGCATGTCACTGGTCCATTTGGGCTTTGCCTGGCTTGTCTTGTGAGCATATATGGCCGCCAGAGAGTCTTACGCAGACTGTGCACTCATTTAAATACGTTAAATATATTTAACTTATTAAAAAAATAATAAATTAATGAAGGATCAACAAACGCAATACTAGAATACTGAGTTTTTTCACCTCTCTGCTTATTAGCATAAAAGGAGCTAGCAAGAATAATATGGCTATCTAACATCATTTACACTTTCCTGGATCTTTCAATCCACATGTTGAATTGATGACCACCAAAAGGAAAATTACTGATAAATATAACTCGATCTTGTGATATTCCTTCATATTTACATAGTGAAAGGGAGCCACGTGAAAGCACCATTAAACTAACAGCTCAGGGAGGACTGTGGGATAGTAAGTGAGGACTGAAGAGGATACGGCGTGTCAAATTTCACAGCTGCATTTGGAGGAGCCTCTGGTACGGGACAGCCTCGTCAAACTGCGGGGAAGCATTCAGTCTTGAGTTACGGACTTTGAAGCAAGCATACCCCGAATAGGGAAACAGCTCCTGTTGTGTAAGTGGTCCGGAGCAACAGTACTGGCCACACCTTTATGTTATATCTACTCATACCCCTGAACATAAGGTTACATGTTTATATAGTCTTGTTTATCTTATCTGATATTCTTAACAAAGGCCTGTACTGAAGGCATTTTTAAGCTTTACATTTCTTTTATTACACACAGAACAAAAGGTTCACATATCCAACTTTTGTTCATCTGCCCTTTGTGCACTAATCTGCAGCAGATTGCTTCAGAGAGGGGCATTACGCCTCCTGAATGACAGCAAAAATAACTTTGGTGTACAAAGCTCACAGGTAACATTTTACACTGTCAAAGTGCTTTTAAAGAAAACAGGTGTTACAAAAAACTAAAGTCAAACTGGCAGGTTTCTGCAATCCTTCAAGACAAGAGCATGGAAATGGGCCATGGGCCGTCTACCGCCGCACACCACAAAATCAAAGCCTAATACTTAACAAGACTCATAAAATCTGAGGCAGGAACCACAGAAAGAATACAACTAAAAGAAAAGCACCAATCCAGTACTTATAGCTCTTTTTCACTAGTACCGATCCGACTCGACTCGAACGTTTCCGTCGTTTTCCATTGGAACTCACTACCACCTAATGTGTGTGGAGTCATTATAGCAACATGGCCGAAGGTCCTGTGATATAATTTGTATGCCATATGAATGCCACAACAAAGGAGGACGGCGAGTCGATGGAATACCTACTGCACGGTGTATGGCTTTCTGTCAGACTCTGGGACCATGGCGTTGTTTTTTGTGTAGCTATTACCCTCATTGCCGAGTTTCAAAAATGGCAGTTTTGATTTTAGTGAAGGAGACGCGCTCATGATTTGTCGAGCGATGCCATCAACTAGCTAAATAGTGGCATGTAGTCTGTTGACGCCACATTATTGCATCAGAATGCTTGGAACCTCAGCCAAGTAGGTAGTTTAAAAAAAAAAAAGTACAAAGTATTAAAGAAAATGTAAAAAAAACAAAACGATCAGACCAACCCAAGAAGAATCAAGTGCAAAAGGGCTATTAGATTAGATATCAATCTCGTCCTGAGGCAAAACGCTATATTTGATATCATGACAATGAGTCGATCTATGGTCCAGTCAGCTGGGTCTAGTTCTCTTCACATCCCCACAGGACAACACCAGCTAGCAGCAGATCTAATGTAGCAAGATGGCAGAATTATAGATATTTTAAATTTGCTTCTATTTTTATGTTGGCAAGGTTTTGTTTTTTTAACTGTATAAAAAAATCCCATTTTTATTCGGTAACTAACTGAATATTTAGACTTGAGATGGCAGCAAACAAAAATTGTGACCAAGATATTTCCTTCATCTACAGTCTTGACTGCAGACAAATCATGATGGATGACCAACAAACCAACACAGAGATTATCTACCTTCAAAGACGCTAACAAGTCAAGCCTGGTAACCATCTCAAAGTGCAGGAAATGGAACATAAACTGGAAGGAAGAAGAGAAATGTAAAAAAGAAAACCACACACATGCACGCATGTACACACAAGCTATGATAACGAGGAAAACACCATATTATTACTCAGGCAGAGAATCATAATGAGCAAGCTAGAAACAAATACAACCTATAACATTTTGTTTCATGGACATATCATGCTTATCACAGTTGTTGAGATCTGGGAAGGTCCACCTTAGGCTACGCTGCATATTTAAAGCAAAACTATGAATCAAAGATAACCGAATCCAAGCTTAAGCATTACTTTACAAGCCAAGAACATCCAACATCCAACTTTTTCAAACTCTGCTGGTCTCAACATTGTGTCCAATATGATCAAACACAGTGTAAATAAAGCTTTAAAAAAATTCCAGCCTTTACAACGAAACCATATTGATTTCTAGAATTCTGATTAGAACTCGAATTAGAATTTACTTTCTGTAATTTTGATTAATATTAGACGAGTATTATAAAGCACAAACATCAATGCAGCAATATTAACAGCAAAACACCTGCTTTCACTTTCCTAACCTAACAAGGCTTATGCACTGGGGATGTTTAATAATTTATCTATTTTCTCAGACAAACATCATTAATAGGAACTGTTTTCCTCTTAACTGTTAACAATGAAATTTAAAAAAAAAAAAAATCATGGAAATGTTCAAATGTCCACTATTGGAGGCAAATCATTCATTCATGTGACTGAGGTTATGCATGACTCAGCCCTCTCCTGCTGGTACAGATGCACATTGCTTTCTCTTTAACCGTCACTCTGTCTGCCTTCCTCTTCTCCTTCTATGTGCAAATCTGCACATATGCAGCTCTGCTGTGCTGTAAGCCACCACACATTTAGCAGTTAGTGGCTTTCAGATTATTCACTAAAGCAGTGCAAACTGCTCTCTACAATGGAGGATCAATGCGGTCAACTCGATGCCTACAGTTTCTACCAGTGCACAGCTAAAGCTGATAAGATCTGTTAAACTCTAAAAGAATCTTGTTAACTATCTTCAGTCTTTCACTGACACTGGGTTTCATCTGCTGCTTGTGACTTTGCACAGTGAGTGCTGACTCAGGTGAAATAAACTGAACTCAGCTCATATTTGACCAGCGGAGCACAAGCCCAACTAAGTGATGTCATTTACTGGTCACCTGGATACCTTATCACCATCTGATATAATAGAGAAGGTGGGCAGGGTGGCTAAATTTCAACACCACACGGTACATATCTGATAATTATTTTTGAATTTATCATCAGTTTTAACTTTGACACACCTCTGCAGTAAAGCAGAGTGTATAAAATGCACAAGAAGCTGCTGATAAACTTGTGTCCAGAGCTTCACTGTGAATGCAAACTGTAGCTGTCTTTTCCTTTGTCGTGGAAAGAAAAGGCAAAGGGCAAAGTCAGAGAAGAACTCATCAGGTTAGTCCTTAGTTCAATTAATCAGATTAATCAATTGATTTTGTCTTTCGCCAATTATAAAATAAAAATATCAGCATGAAAAACGTACTCTTTTGCTTTCGTTTTCACCGCAAAGGTTTCTGAAAATCACTCGCCTCCAAGATGACTAAAGGAGAGACTTTGTTCAACGAGACCTATCTGGAGGAAGTAAAACTGTCAAGGTTTCATTATTGAAACTGTGAAGGGATTATCAGTTGCTTCGAGCTCCCTTCATCTCTGAATATATGATAAATGCCGCAAGCTAAAAATGTGTTGATCCACCAGTAAAGTTCATATTACACATGTGCCTTACCCAATCTAGGAGACATTTGATGGTCAGTTTTTATTCCATGGTGTAGTCCCTCTTGACATATGGACATCAGCCTAGTCTTTACAGTTTAAAAAAGAAACCCTAATGGCCTATTTATTGTTTCAATGTCACAAAAGCCACATTAAATATATATACTTGAAGCGCCGGATTCACTGCAGTATTCTCCTGAACAATAGGTGCCACCCTTCAGAGAAAAGGTCCCCATTAGTGCCAATGCTGGAATAGTTGAGGTTTATTTTTCCTCCAAAAACTTTTTCTCAGAAAGTCTAATCTTTTCAAGCGGTTGCAGCATTTTCCTCTCCATGATCTGCAAATCTCTGAGCTCTTACACCCATATCACTGAAATGGTGATAGAAACCAACCCGACTGTATATTCATGTCTTCAATGCAGCCACACAAGGTTACAAAAACGCAGACATGCATGACAAGGCGTAACAACACCAAAGCACGGCTCGCGCCAATAGTTGAGACATCACTTTAGATATACACTGTTCATGAAGGCAACAGCGGCGGGTACAAAATGGCCTCAACTCCCTACCATACAACCCTGTGTGCTCCACCATCTCAACCTCTTTTTTTCATTCACTTATTTGCTTTTCATTTGTTAATTGTCAAGCTAGAGTACAAATACTGAACTTTAAATACATTTTTAAAGTTCAGTAATGGCCTAACGTTTGTTAAGATGACTATATATATATATATATATTAGGACTGTGTGATATGACCAAAATCTCATATCCCGATATAAGAATTCTATCGTCCCAATAACGATACAAATCACAAAGATTTAACATTTTCTGTAAATTCTGTGAAACTCGGGCAGCTCGACTTGCGTGAAGTGTTTCCAGCTGGGC